TCCCCCTCCCTCCCCCTAACCACGTCACGGGTACAACCATAAATGATCATATTATTGTATGTTGCCAATATCGCCCACAACAAATAGCGGAGAGTCACAAAAGATAAAGAGCTCCTCTCGGTATCTCCAGCGACAGTGACTCTATTGAAAACTTATCAAACCCATTACGAGCGATCGTAGACCGGATCCATACAGAATCTGACCTCTTTTTTCAAGTGCCGGGAGGGGTTTGTTTTTCTATCTGTTTGCCTTCCCTCTGAGTGACACAAGTGGGTAGCGGTTGTAGCGAGAGTGATTTACGGAATTTGTCATTGCAAATAGATCCATTTGGTGGAGTCGGTAGGGCCTTCAGGGTAGCGCACAACTATTTATCTAGATCTAGATATATTAAATTGGAAGAGTGAAGAGGCTAGCCGTACTCATTTTTTATATGATGGCTAGACTGGCCCAAGAAAGGCCTACTGAATTGCAAATAAATTTTTAGTTTGCGGAACCTAAAGTACCTAAAGTACCTAAAGTACCTAAAGTACCTAAAGTATTTATATTTGAGACGAAACCAGTTGCCTTAATGTCAGGGCATGTATTTTCAACCTGAATAATTACTAATGAGACATGTTTTCTAATGCTAATAGGGCCTAAGATAAGTACGACTAGACTGGCAGGCTAGCCGTACTTATTATTGATGGAGGCCTTTTTAGTTTGCAATGCCTAAAGTATTTGTATTTCAGACAAAACCAAAAGGTGCCTTACTGACTTGCGTGTATTTGAACCTGAATAATTACTAGATCTAGATCTAATGAGACCTGTGTACTCAACAGGTTGGAGTCGATAGAGCCAAACCTAGATCTAAGTACGGCTAGCCACTTCGTATTATATGTGTGATCGCTCTCCACCTTGGTGGTCAAAAACTTCCAAACCACGTAACTTTCGAATTTGAAAATAATTAACGGTGGTTCAGAATCATTTAAAGCTGCACAGTTATATTAAGGAGTCTCAAGTCACTGTAGTTTAATTTTCAGTTATTTATTAGTTTTGTTTAGATCTAATCTTGGGAATGTCTGTCTTCTAAGACGCCATTGTAAACAAACGAGGCTTTCGTTCACAAACAGTACGTACTGGTTTCCACAATGACTCGACGATCGGTTCTTTTGAGTCCGTTCATCGAACAGGAAACCACAGCTAGTTTGATAATAAAGATATACCTTTGGTTGGTTTGAAGATCTCCTCATTGGACGTTCAATATTCTTTTTCTAATTGTGTCACCTAAGGTGAAATTAGGCGCTCGTCATTTTTGTTTCGCGGGGGAAGGGGAGGGGCCATTGGTATCATTAATAAGCTTGTTTATTTTTCTCGCTTTTCATGGGAAAAACAACGACAAGCGCCTGGTTCTACCGTCCAGTCACCCAATTAAAAACTAGCAGAGAAAACGAATCAGGACACGTGTTCCTACTTACTGAACATCTATACCCAGGGGTACTTTGTTTCTGTCATGAGAAGAATTTTTTGAAATATTATTTTGATTTTACTGTTGAAATTATTATTTTGTGTTACGTTAGACAGATTCCATCTTTTGTGCCATTATGGGGCCGGACAGTGGGGATCTGAAGAGTAGGACGACGATGTAGACATTTCCAAAGTTTCCCTGTAGCCTTCGATTGATTCTTTTCATTTTTAAAAATAATAAATGTGTCAAGACACCGTGGAATTAGGCGCTCGTCATTCTCCGTGGGGGG